ATCACACTTCATGAATTGTCCTGGAATTTGATAAGACAATTTTGGCTTGTTTTCCATAGGAAGGAAAATGTAATTTTTTAAAATCTAAGGTAATGCACAAAAGTTCAATAAAAATATTCTTTGAAAAAATCCCAGATTCTTCATAGAGTCAAGTCAGTAATCACTATGACGCTTGTGTCTCACCATCAAAAGCTACATTTTCACAGGAATAGTTGACAGGAGGGGAAAAGACAGTGTCTTACAAGGGTAGGAGTTTTGGTGGGTACAGTGAGTGAACCCACACATAAGGACATTTGGGGGCACAAATCAGACCCTATATGCCATATGATATGATTACATGTATATAAATAAATATATATATATATATGTAGAGAGAGAGACAGAGAGAGACAGAGAGAGAGAGAGACAGAGAGAGATGATTAAATTGGGTGAGTTACAGCGGAGTTAGGTACAGATAGTGGAAGGGATCTAAATACCATCAAACCATGTTGCATGTCAATTGCAAAAATCAATGAAAATAAAATTTTAAACATAAATACAGTAGGTACAGCTTCAAAAGCCACATTAACACAGGGACAAGATTAATTTTTTTACAAACCAAAATTTTCTCTTCAATATGCGATTTGTGATCATTTTTGGAATACTTTTTTCATTTAAAATAGAAATTACTCCCAGATCTCTCTAACAAACCAGGGTGATGTACTAATGCAAACAGTTTTCAAGATACTACAGCTAAACACTACTCTTTTATTTGTAACAATACTGTTTTTTGGGTATATGGGGTTCCATGAGGTTTAACATTCATTGTCCCAATGGAGGTAAAAGACTCAAAGAGGTGATTCCTTCCACACAAGGCTGTGAACATAGTTACCTGCTTTATTCAGGCAGAAGAAAGAGACAGTGTTGGTCCACCAGAATATGTATAACATTTATGTAACAAGCATAGCACTCTAAATTCTAAATAACAAATCTAATACAATCACCACCTTCTATGTTGGATTTATTCCTAAGTATTTTTGAGACTACTATGAATGAGAGTGTTTTTCTGATTTCTTTCTTAGCTTGTTAATTATCACATAGAGAAGTTACTGATTTTTTTATACATTGTTTTATTCCCTAATGATTTGTTGAATTTGTTTGGCAAATATATGTTTTTTCTGATGTAGCATGTAGAGTTTGTTTTTAAGCATAGCATCACGCCACAATTGAGGAAAATTTGGCTTCTCCCTTTTTTATTTTTTAGTTCTTACCTCATTCTTTTGCTTTTTTCTCTATCAAAAACTTCAAGCACTATATTAAATAATAAGGGAGGGAATGGACACTTTTTTTCATGTCTGATTTTAGAAAAAATGGTATCAGTGCTCTCCATTTAATGCAATGTTAACAGGTTGTTGTATGTAAACTTTATCAAGTGGAGGTATGTTTCTTGAGTTCATAGTTTTTTCATAACTTTTGTTCTGAAAATATGGTGTATTTTTGAAATATTCTTTACATGCATATATTCATAAGATAATATTATTTTGTTCCAGAGTGTATTCATCTGCTTTAGCATATTTATTTATTTGTGTGTGTTGGATTATTCTTACAACCAGGGAATGGAACCATATTAAATATGTGTAAGGCTCCTATTAATGTGGTGTTAATTCAACTCACATGTATTTAATTGAGGATATTTATACCTATGTGTATAAAATTAATTGGTCCACAGGCTTCCTCTGTGTGTGTGTGCGTTTGTGTGTGTGTGTACGCTTGCATGCATGTGTATATGTTCCTGTGTATATGTGAATTTGTATGTGTTATCTCTTTCTATTTACAGAAATATTTGGATAACATTTCATTAGTTCTTATAAGGTAAGGCTTTCTTCATTTGTGAGATTTCTAATAACTGATTTAATCTCATTGCTCTTTGTAGAGCTTCTTAAGTTGTTCACATTTTCTTGATTGAATTTTGATAAGACTCATGCATCTTATTATTTATTCACCTTTAGATTTTCTAGCTCTTTATGTATTTTAAATGATTGCCTATGGAATTACCAAATTTATTGTTACCTAATGTAATGGCCCACTTTTCACCTCTGGTATTATTATTTTTGTCTTTTTCAGTTTCTTTTCATCATTTTGTCCAAGTATTTATCAATTTATTTTTAGCTTTACAAGGAATTGAATCCTTGTTTCAACGATAATTTTTCTTTTTTATGTTTTAATTGTTTCTCTGCAACTCATATAACACATCTTAATCAAATTTAGATCTCTTCCCCCCCCACATATGCCCCCCCACCAGAGGTCAGGTATTCTGTTATGTATGTTAAGTCCTACTCCATCAAGTATTTGTGTCAGGTGTTCCTCAGTACAATTTCATCTACTGGAGTCTATTCAGCCTATCTGGAGTCAATCTCTCATCCCAGAGTAATCATTTGCCAATAGTTCCTTGGTTAGGGTTTGAGCCTGCTGCCAACTTCCCAGATTCTATGCTGGGTTTATGTCAGCACGGGATTTGTGAATGCTGTCAGCACTGCTTCAAATCCATATGAACAAGTTTCCAGTGGCTTGAAAACCTCTGCTTCCTCCTGCCCTGACTCAATCTTTCTGTCCCCTCTTCTGCACTTATCCCTGAGGTATGGATGGGTGAGGTTCAACATAGGAGTCTTATCCAGTGACTTGGAGTCTTATCCAGTGACATTCACTCTGCAGTTTCTTATTCTTTAAAACTTAGCTTGTTGTGGCCTTGTGTTTGCATCACAAAGACACCATTGGTGGTTAAGGAAGTCTCACTGTTGAGAGTTGAAGGATGTGTTAGTGGCTTCTTTACCGCCTGTTCCAGTGTGCCTTAGGTGAAGAGGTTCAACTGTAGATATGTCACCCAGGACTGGGCATCTCTCAGATGCATATTCTTGTGTCTGTCCTGTTGTGGGGTTCTGTAATAGCCTCTATCCATTGCAAAAGGAAACTTCTTTGAATATTTGTGTACGTTACATTTGTCTGTAAACATAAAGATCCACAATTATCATGTGGTAATTTAATTTGTCTAGAGATATGGCAGAGGTAGAGTTTTCTCAAGGATCTATGTCCATTCCAGTCATGTGACTTGGCTATGTTTACAGTACCACCCATGAGTTCACTTCATGGCTTTAAGTCCAATTGCATAGCTGTTGATTATCCCCTATATAACAATGCCACTTCTGCACCAGTAGAGGTAGTTTGCTGTGCAAGTCATTGTGGTTATTAGTCTTTAGAGCTGGGCTGGTCCATTGATTGATTTTTCACCCTTAGCAACTAGAACCATGAGAGCTATTCTTCAGGGAAAAGGCTTCTGGGTCAGGTCTAGCTCCATTGATCTGAGTACTGATTCCAAAGTGTTTCCTGTCCTCAGTAGTACAATCTTACCTTCATGTTCTGGATGGTGCTAGCAAAACTACATCTCCACCTATAGACAAACGAAATTGAACCCTTATTCGTCACCCTGTGAAAAAACAGCAACTTCAAATGGATCAAAGACCTTACTATAAAACCTGAAATTCTTAAATTTCTAGAAGAAAACACAGTTATGACCCAACAACATATATGTGTAGAAAAGGACTTTCTAAATAGGACATCAGCTGCTAAGGCATTAAGGTCAATGATCAACAAGTGAGACATCATTAAACCTCAAAGCTTCTGTACAGCAGAAGGAACAACCAAGGAAGTGAAGAGGAAACCCACTGAGTAGGAGAAAATCTTCACCTATTACACATTCTACAAAGGATTATTATCCACAATATGCAAAGAGCTCAAAAAAAAAAAAACAAAGAAAAGAAAATAAATGACCCAATACAAAGTTGGGCTAAGGACTTGAACAGAGAGTTCTCAAACAAAGAAATAAAAACGGCTAAGAAACACCTTAAAAAGTGGTCAACATCCTTAGTCATTAAAGAAAGGCTGATAAAAACCACTTAAGGTTCCATCTTCCCCAGTCAGACTGGCTAAGATCAAGAGAACAAAAGACACCAAATGCTAGTGAGGCTGTGGGGAAAGGGGAATGCACGCTCACTGCTAGTGAGAACACAGGCATGCAGCCACTGTGGAAAACAGTGTGGAGTCTTAAAAAACTAAAGATTAATCTAGCATATGACCCAGTTATACACTTCTTGGAGTGTACTCACAGAACTCGTCTTATTGTAGAGATACCTGTATGTTCATGTTTGTTGCTTCTCTTTCACCAAAACTACGGAATGGAAGTCACCTCCATGTCCCTCAATTGATGGTGAAAATGTGGTACATTGGCAAAATGGAGTTCTACTCAGTTCTACCCAACTCAGTTAAGGTGAAATTGTGAATTTCAGAGGTAAATGGATGGAACTAGGAACTGTTACATTAAGTGAAGTAACAGACTCAGAAAACTATGTGATGTATGTTCTCCCTCCCTCATTTGTGGATTGTAGCCCCGATCCTTATAGAGTTACACTGGGAAATGTCCCTGCTCTTTTTTGGACTTAATAAGTCCTGTGGAGCAGGGAATTGAACTGAATAATTCACCTTGAGCCTTTTAGCTCTGTGACTTTTTTTTGTAACTAGGTTTCCCTGTGCCTGTTGTTTACAGGACACAACTGTGTTAACATCACTATCATCCATGCTTCATGACAGCAAGAAATTCCCCAACCTAGAGATGTTTGATTCCAACCAGTTTCTGGATGAGAATGGAACTTTAAAAAAACTGACTGCTTCAAATCTTTCTCAACAGGTAATAGAAACTCATTTCCATGGCTCAGGCGACATTGAGCATCACTGGGAACTCAAGTTGAGAAAGCTAGAGTATAGATCATTCACATACTTCCTTTAGATACATCACAGAGACAGCGCCACCATTTTCATAGATAATGAACTTCATTTAACCTTTGCCACATACAGTGGAATTGGAAAGTTCACCAAAATTTGATTCATCCTTGCTGTGTCACTCACCTCCAGGATCAACTATGCATAAACAAGTCTCCAAAAAGGGAGAAATGGCCAAAGGGCCTCTAGTCCACTCAGGGAAACAGGAGAGAGAGATGATGTTAATACAGTTGAACTTGTGCAGTGAGAGAGAATCAGAAGTCTATGAGCAAGAGGCTTGCAGTGGAGAAAGAAACGCCCTGATCTTTCATCCCTCATTATTAAACACAAGCTGGAGCAACAGTGTAATTAATGACTCTCCAGCTGCATCAAAGATCATAAGTATAGAGAATAGGAAGAAGAGAATGAAGGCCAATTTAAAATATATTTTTATTGTTTGACTGTTTCATACATTTATCCAATGCATTTGTTCAAAGCTTCCCCAAACTACTTCTCCTTCACTCCTCTCATATCTCACTACCACTCTCACTCCCAACTTCACATACTCTAATTTAGAACACACAGAGTCTACTCTGGGCTGCTACTAGGAGCATAGGCATTGGGCCATTCACTGGATATGGCTGACCCACCAGGGATCTCAGCCCTGAAGAAAACTGACTGTACCTATAGCTACCAACTGCCAGTAGCTCTACAGCTAGTTGTGAGACTTTGCAAGCATCTCCCTCATCCTTGCTTGAATGATTGGTTGGTATAAGCCCTTTTCAAGAATGTGATAAACAGCTGGAGGAGGGCACCTCAGCAGTTAAGAGAGCTTGATGATTTTCAGTGAGCATGAGTTCAATTCCAAACATTCATGCTGGGCAGTTAAAAACCTCCTGTAAGTTCAACTCCAGGGGACCTGATGGCTTTTTACAGACTCTACAAGCAACTACACTCATATACACACTAACACCCCCACACTATCCACATTATTTTATTTTATTTAAAGGCAAAATATCACTGGAGGAGGACATTTTATCTCAGCTAAGAATTGTCAGAAACTTCTAGATCATCACGATATCACACAGGTACTGCAGACATGCAGAACACACAGCAGTGATCACAGGGCTCCCTGCCCTTCCCCATTCAGGATACCTGTTATAATTATGGATATTCAACCCTGCAGTGTATTTACATGCATCCTGTTTCATGGATTATTTGATCTTGATAATAAACTCAAAATCTCCATTTTTCAGTCTCCTGAGGGTTCTGATTACAAGTGTGTGCAGCCATACCAGCCAGGATATTGTTTCTGAGTGTTATGTTTCTTAAGATTGTATGTTAGAAGGAAATCAAATTTGTACCATTTTTCTCAATGTACCTACCAACTTGTCCTTTCACCTAGCCATTCATCTGTATATAATCATACAGTAATTTTTAGTTACTCATGTTCTCCTGCACAGGTTACAAACACAGTACTTCTAACACCCTTATAAACAAGGCATAATTGCCAGCTTTGGGCTTTTATTTTTCACGAAAAACAATTTGTGGAGGAGAGGGCCTGGCACTCGTGGAGCTCTTTCCATTCCTGAGTACCATACTACAGAATGTTAAACTGAAATCCCTGTTTCATCCTAAGGACATTGACCCCAGTAGTCAATGGATTGGTTTCTGTGCCATCCCCTTTCCAGATCTGCTTCATTCCTGTTTAAAGAAGATCAGACAGCCTGGGTCCCACTGTGTTGTATTCTTCCATCCCCTCCAGGCCACATCCACCCCCTTCACTCTCAAGGACACTCTACCATTTCTCCCCTCTCATATCTTCTCATTCCCTCAAGGTCCAGGGAGCATGCCACCATTTTCGAGGGGCTGGATCACTGCACAAATATACCTACCATTCTCCATCCTCTGTAACACTCACATGCTCATATGTATCTGAAAATTATATTAATATAACTACACTGAAAAAAACTGAGAAATTATTTTCACATGAAAATTGAGTTAAACAGTTTAACAGATAAGAAAATGATATAGATGAATGCCAACTTGGGCAACATCAGCAGCCAGCTAGCCTGGAACTAGATGTCAGGAGAACAGAGCCTCAGGTGAGACTATTATGTTATTGACTACAGAATAGGAGTAGGCCAACTGGAGGGGGATCTGAGAGTGTGTTTGTGTGTCAAGTTGACAAGTAGTTGTGCTGGATAGCTTTATTTGTCAATTTGACACACGTGGTTATAGGAATCCTCAATTGAGAAATTTTTTCCCTTGGACTGGCCTGTGGCCATTTCTGTGGAGCATTTTCTTGATTATTAAGTGATGTGGGAGGTCCCATCCCATTGTGGGCAATGCCGCTCCTATGCAGGTGGTCTTCTGTTATATAAGAAATTAGGCTGAGTTGGGCCAGGGGAGCAACTCAGTAAGTACCTATTCCCCATGATAGGTCCTTCCCCTGAGCTTCCCTTGATGATGGTCTATGCTTGTAAATCAAATGAACCCTTTCTTCTCCAAATTGTTTTTGATCAGTGTTTTCATCACAGCAGTAGAGAAGCTAACTAGAATTGAAATTAGTACCAGGGAGTGGGATATTGTTGTCATGGACACTACCATATATGTCTGGGAGGACTGTGGAAACATTTGCAATTCGGCCTGGGAATGCCATTGAATGCTCAGCACGTAGTGAGCTGTTGCTGTGGAGCTTGCAACAGTTATGCTATAGAGAATTGTGGATGATGGAGACCTGGCTTGTGACTTTCTAAGGGAACAAACACTCTTCAGGATTGTTTGTGTTGAATTAAGAATTTGTGAAAGTGAAACTTTTTGTGCTTTACAGGGACAATTGATGCTAGGGCTGAAAAATCAGTTGTGAGTAACAAGAGATGACAAGCATTATAGCTGAAGAATTCTGGGAAGTATTTCCTCAGTGTCAGCACACAAAAGCTGTCATCCAGATGTTACTCATGGTTCCATCTCAAGCTGAAAACAGGATATGGTAATGTGTAATCTTCTACATGGTACTGGTTTTCAAGGCATAAAGGAGTCATGGAGAGTAGCTGAGTCTCTTTATTGTGAAATGCCAGAAGAGGCCCTCAGTGAATGTGTAGCCTCAGTTGCAATGGAGACCCCAGGATATTGGGTATGCCAGGACCAGAGGATGACTGCCAAGAACAGCAGCAGGTGTGGAATGGAGCTGGATTGAGCCTGAGACAAGCTGTGTGTGCTGTGGAAGGCAGAGCCAGAGAAGTGGAGCTTCTGAAGCCATTTGGGGCCCTCAGAAGAGCGTGAGTCAATTCCAGATGCCACCCTTGAGCTGGATTTGTTTGAGAGTGCCCTAACCTTCCATTTAAGTTAAAATAATACTTAACTTGTTTTTGATTTTTCAGGCTTTTAAGAGAGGAATTGAATTTTAAAGTTTTTGAAATTTTAAGACTGTGGGACTTTAAATATTGTACTCTTTTATGTTGTAATATTAATATTACCTTGATATTTGGGGGATAAGAAATGGAAGAGTTGTGGTTTGAAGTGATGTGTTTGTGTGTCAAGTTGACAAGGAGTCAATTGTGCTGAATAGGTTTAATTGTCAACTTGACACACCTGGTTAGAGTGAACTTCAATTGAGGTGGATTGGCCATATCTGTGGCGCATTTTCTTGTAATATGGGAGTGCCCGTCCTACTGTGGGCGGTGCCAACCCTGGGCAGGTAGTCTTGTGTTGTATAAGAAATAGGGTTGAGCACAGGCCAGGGGAGTAAGCCAATAAGCAGCTATCCTCCATGGCCTATGCTTCAGGTTCTGAGTTCTTGCCTTAGCTTCTCTGTGTTTGTTAGCTACATAAACCCTTTCCTAGCTCAGTTTAGTCAGTGTTTTTATTACAACAATAGAGAAGCTAGCTAGTACAATGCTATTTATGTGAAAACCCCACAGGTCTGTAAAACATAAAACCTTAACAGGCAAGAAAACATGTAGATGAATGCCAACTTGGGCAACATCAGCAGGAAGAGCTAGCCTGGACCTTGACTTCAGGAGAGTTGAACCTCAGATGATACTTTCTGATAAATGACCCATTACAGAAGAGGAGTAAGCTTGTATGTAAGGAGATGGGGGTGCATCCAAGAGGAGATGGGTTGGGGGGGTGGAATATGATCAGAACAAGCAGTATGAAACTTTCAAAGACTCAATAAAATATTATTAAAAATAAAATTTAAACTGTTCAATATCCTTTCCAATTAAGGAAATACAAATTAAAATGAATTTGAGATATCATCTTACCCAAGTCCAATAGCTAAGATCAAAAAACAACAGAACACAAATGCTGGACAGAATGGAGGGAAAAGGGAATTCTCATTTACTGTTGGAATTGAAAACTGGTACAGTCATTATGGAAATTAGTATGGAACATTCTCCAATAGCGAAAAGCAGATCTACTTATGACCCAGCTATACCACTCCATGGCATTTACCCAAAGGATGCAGAAAACTTTATCAGCCACAATCTCTGTAGTCTATTCACCATAGCTAAGAAATGAAAACAACCAAAATATCCTTCAACTGATGAGTAGATAATGAAAATGTGATACATTTACTCAATGGAATTCTATACAGTGTAGAACATGAAATCATGAAATTTGCAGGTAAATGGATAAAACGGGAAAATAAACTGAATGATGTAATGCCTCACCCAAAAAAGCCCCCAAACATGTTCTTTCTTATTTGTGGGTTTGAGCTCCAAATATTTAGATATGAGTATATAATCTGAAGTGAATGAAGTCAGGAAAGTAGGAAAGGGCCGTGGAGGAGGGTGAGTAAGGAGTTGTGGAGGAGGGACAGTAGGACATAGGTGCTATGAAGAGGAAAAGGAGAAAATGATGGGGACAGACAGAAAGGTGGAGAGAGAAGTGAGGAGGGAGGATGACGGGGAGTGCAAGGAAAGGAAGAAAGGAGAAGAAAGAAACACTGAAAATGTTCCCGAAAGCCATGGGAATATGTGTTTTTAAAGCTTTCCTAAGAATACACATTAAAAATTCAATAAGAAATTAAAAATATGGTAAGATAAAAGAAGGAATACACTATACATACATACACATATATGTGTATGTATGTGTGTGTGTATGTGCACATGTGTGAGTGTAATGTATGTGTGTGCACACATACACATATATAAACGGAGCTACGACCCACAGCTGATAATGTCCCATCCTGGAGCGACTGACTACCTAACAAAAACCCCGATGTCAGGCATAAGAAACCTTCCTGTTAGTGTTTGTTAGAGGGGGACAAGAGAATCTCAAAATAATATAGTCTTTTGCCATTGCCTTTGGTTGCGTCTCGGAACTTGAATGTCAGATCCTATTGCTGGAGACTCCACATACTTTGGATACAGGAATTACAAGAATCAAGCTGACAGTGACAAGGAAGCCTCATTCTTGAGGACTAGCACTCAGTGTTGAAGGTGGTAGTCAAGCTGCCAAGAGAGAAAAGCAATCAATACTCCTACCTAACTGTAAAATCTATGAACCACAGCAATGACTGGCCCAGCAAGATTCCTCAATGGTTCAAAAGTGACACTTGAATTCTGAGAGTAATCAACAGCTGTCTAATAATAAGCATTTTTGGTTGCTCTTCCTGTTCTCAGACTTTCCTTAAATTCCAGTAAGAAACAGAAGAAAATAGAGTCCCAACAGAATATGTTGGTCCACTCAGTGGAAAACACACAGAATGCAGAATGTAAAGGAGTATGGGGGAGGGGGCAATGTAGCTCAGTCAATTATGTGCTTGCCACACAAGCCTGAGGGTCTAAATTCCATATGCAACACACACCTGAAAGGTTCAGACATAATAAACAAGTAGAGGAAAGGTGAATTCCTGCTCACTTTTTCAGCTGGACCAGAAATGCCTTTTTTCTCCTGCCTTTGATCATCTGATGTGTAAGGGCACTGAAATTTACTTTTTTAATTTATTTTTTATTTCATTAGTTTAAAAAATTTTATTGAGTTTTATGCATTTCATATAATACATCTTAATCAAATTTAGACACCCTCCCGCATATCAACCCCCATAGCCCCTCCCACAAGATTTCAGTTTTTCTGTGTTATATGATAAGTCCTATTTGGTCAAACATTTCTATGCAGGGGCTCCTCAGTGCAAGTTCAGCCACCAGAGTCTACTCAATCTATCTAGAGTTATTCCCTTAAAGATCTACTTTCCCTCACCCCAAAGTAATCATTTGTCAGTAGTTCCTTGGCTAGGGTTGGGGCCTGATGCCCTGCCCATTTCCCCTACACTATTTGGGTTTTTGTCTGAGTTAGCATGGATCTTCTGAATGATGTCAGCATTGCTGCAAGTTCATATGAACAAGTTTCCAGTGGCTGCCTGTTTCCTTATATTTATGCACCAACCGTGGCTCTTATGATATCTGAACATTAGTACTTATGTATGTATACCTACAGGCTATATAACAACAAGCACAATGCCAGACAGGGGAAACTTCACTTTGAGTTGTCGGTCAGAGTAGTTCAAGAGATCCCCAAAATAACACAGACCCCCAAACCTTGATTACCTCTAAGATCTTGAATGTAAAACCCTACTGCTGAAGATAGGACATACTTCAGACACAGAAATTGGAGTGATGGAGCTGGAACTGACCTGGCAGACTTCTCCCTGAAGACTAGTTCTCATAGCTCTAGAGGATACTTAGCAAGATGCTAAGAGGAAAATTAAATCAATGGTCCAGCCCAGCTTTACAGCCTAAAAATTACTATAACTGGCACAGCAAACAACCTCTATTGGTGGAGGAGTTGCACTCTTATCTAAGGATAATCAACAGATATCTAAATGGGGTTAAAGCCCTTTCAATGGGAGAGAATTATGAATGGCACTGTAAGTAAAGCCAAATGCACATGGCTGGAGAGGTCAGAGATCCCAGAGAAAACCTATCTCTGTCATGTCTCTAGACAAATGAAATGTGTTACCATATTCTAAATATGGATCCTTATATTTACAGACAAATGTACCATACAATAGTAATCTAAGAAGCTTCTTTCTGCAAGAGACAGAGGCTATTACAGAGTTCCACAAATGATCACACACAGAGAATATGTCTGAGAGATTCCTAGCTCTATGTGACACAGCTATAGTGGAACCTGAACACTTGAGGCACATGGAACATAGTGGAACAGTGGGTAGAGAAAATACTAATACATCCCTCAACTCTCAATAGTGAACCTTCCTCATACAACAGTGGGCTATGCAAAGAGAAGGCCACAACAAGCTAAGTTTTGAAGAAAAAGAAACTGCAGAGTGCATGTCTCTGGATAGGACTTTATTATGCTTCACCCACCCACAATTTAGCAGCCATTCACAAGAAGGGGGGAAAGGTTGCATGAACTTTACATTTTAAACTCACACCAGTGGTCCTCAGTTTTTTAGGACTTTGACTTCAAACTGACAATTATACAGTCAGCTGCACTGATCCTCAGACTTGGACCCAGTCACAGGATCTGCTTCTCTGGGTCTCTGATTGCATTCAGATAATAGTAGGGATTCTCAGTGTCCACAACAATGTGAACCACTTGCTGTGATAAATTCCTTATCTCTATAGTCTCTGTCTGTCTGTCCCCCTCAAAGTGTGTTAAATAAGGTCCATCTTTGATCATCTCCCCATAGACTCACTGTTGGAGAGGAATTCTTGAACCAACCTGTTGTTAAAAGCTAAGGAAGCAGGTGAGAATGCGTAATGTTTGACTTTATCATGATCACAAGAAAAGTCATATTCAAGAAAGAAAGAATGTAAGATGTCAATGCTTGTCTCTATCACTCACTCTCAACAGAAAGCCAGAAGCAGCAGATATGTCCTGCTTGGGGGAAGGAAAAAGAACTATGTTCATGTATTGGACTATTAAACCAGGCCAGTAATGATAGTGCCCATGACCATAGTCCCTTCCTAACATTAGCCTGGCAGCTGTGGAACTGCCAGCCCTCCCCTCTCTGCTAACTGAAGGAAGAACAAGACTCCACCTAGAGGGCAGCAGGATGGGAAACAAGCACAAAAATTGCCTTGGCCACAAAGTTTACTACAACTCAGTGAGACACAGCTGAACTTGGCCAGTATTTGCAAACAGAAACTCCAGCACTGTCACACCATCAGGTGATACCTGTGCGGTGATGGAAGCCTAATCAAGCCTGCATCATTGCGAGCTTTGGAAGTTCTTTTGGCTCCAAAATCAAGATATAACTGAACTGTGTCTTAATGGAGAAAAGATTGCCTTCAGAATATACCTCAGAGCATCAAAAGGACTCATTTACTCTATTTGGTCAGACGAGTAAGCATAGGACTTTGCACTGGCACCCATCTCCAGGCTGGTAGACCCTTATAAGAGCCAGATCCTAATGGTTTCTGTCACCAGGCTACTACATGAAAGCACAGACTTTGAAATAGACACGATGTCACTTTGAGATAGCATTTCCTATTGCTGATTGCAGCAGTCTTGTGCCATAAATATATCTCAGTGGCAGGTAGTACACAGCAGTGTGGACTTGGTCCCAGCCCAGTATAGTGCTGGTCTCAGTAGGCTGTGAGCTGAGGATGAAGACACCTTTACAAGCACAATTCTGTGCAACTAGTTTATTTTTTGGGGGAGGGTGTAGTAAATGGCAGGTGGGCAGCAAGATGAATCACAAAGGCCTAGTACTGATCCCTTCCTGGTTATTCTGCCAAGAGCCAGAATAGGAATCCTACAGTGCCTAGCCACACAAGTGACTGACAAAAGGATCAGAGACTAGTATAGTCACAGAGGACAGACTACTCTCTGTATATACTCTCTCAGTTCATGCTGAATCACACACCACCTGTGGATTTAGATAAGTTTAGGGCCTGTTGGTCCTCTAGCGGAGAAATAGAGAAACTACAACAGCACACAATAGAGAACTTAGAACAAACCTGGACATAGGGCACCATGCAGTCAGTTCTCAGAGAATAGAGCTGAAAATATTCTGGAAGCCTAATCAAGAGCACAGTGAAATATGACTTACTCACAGGAATATTGTCTAGTATTAAAAACAGAATAGCTAAAAAGTCCTGGTGAGGATGTGAAGAGTAGGGAAGTGCTGCACAGTGTTGAAGAAATGTAAATTAGTTCTGTCACTATGGGAAGCATCCTGGCTATTCCTGCAAAATTAAAATTAGACCTGCCACAGAATGCAACAACCCAAGTGCTGATATATGCAGGGGAAAGAGCATCAGCATACTGAGGAGAATTGTGCACTCCTGTGCTTATTGTGATACTTCAAACATATTTTATTTATTATTTTTATGCGTATGTGTATTGCATGTGTTTAAGTGCACCCATGTCATGAAAAGCCTGCAGAGGTCAGAGAGGCCATTGGATTCCCTGGAACTGGAGTTATAGATGGTTGTTAGCCATCCTATGGATGCTGGATATCAAACCCAGATCCTCTGCAAGAGTAGCCAGTGCTCTAAACCACTGAGCCCTCGCTCAGTGTCCACCTACTGATAACTGGATAAAGAAAATATGGAGCATGTATATGACAGCATGCTTTTCTGCCACTAAAATGTAACCTTACTGTGACAGGAACACAATTGGAAATCATTATGCTAAGTGAATAAGCAGACACACAAAGACAAGTGTCACACATGACCCACGTGGAATATATATTTACAAGGGTGACTTGATGAAATTGTAAGTACCTTGATGAAGTAATTGTAAGTACCTCCTAGAGGTTATGAAGAATGAGGAGAGAAATTGTTAGGGAAATCTGACTCACAGGTAGCAAGTTTTAGTTACATATGAAATGTAGTTGAAATGATATTGCCTATTTCCAAACACAAGCAGATAAAATTTTTGGTATTTTCACCCTGAAAATATTACATGTATCTGAGCCGGATGTCATGGTTGTGACTTTATTCCCAGTACTCTAGAAGCAGAGTCAGAAAGATCTCTGTGACATTGAGGTTAGCTATGTCTGCATAGTGAGTAACAGGCTAGCTAGAATTACAGGGAGACCTTGTCTCAAAATATTGTTTGAGGATATAAACGTGTTTAATCTAATTTTATTTTCCATTTATGTTCTTGAAGACTTATTTTACTTTTATTTATGTGTGAGTAACTGTGTGTCTCTTTGTCCATGTATGTATGTTCACATGTGTACAGGTGTCCTCTGATGGCAAAAGAAGATGTTGGATGCCCTGGAGCTGGAGTTATTGGCAGTTGTGAGCTGCCATATGTGGGTACTGGGAGCCTTACTCTGCAGGAGCAGCAAATGATTGTAACTTAGCCACCTCTCCTGCACCAATGTTTTTGCATATGCTTAAAAGTCAATTAAAAATAATCACATCTCATTATTGTATAGTTTTCTGGAAAATCATTTAGTTGAAAATCAGCTGATCATATAAAACATAAGTATTTTATGTTCAATTTTGCAAAGAGCAATATTTTATGTTACAGTAAACTGTGTACAGATTGCATAGTTTGTGTGAACATATTCCTCTGCACTCCTGTAAGTACAAATAGATGTAGGCCTGTATCTAGGCCCTAATGTAGTAGCACAGCAGTACCAGACAGAGTGCCTTCCTTTGGGATGAGAGCAGGAAGAGCTGATGAATGTCATTTCTTTAAAAAGTTCATTTATGTAACTGGTGAAGATTTTCTCCCAGTCACTGTGTTTCCTCTTCCTTTCCTTGGTCATTTCTTTTGCTGTACAGAAACTTTGTAATTTAATGAGGTCCTGCTTACTGATTGTTGGCCTTAGTGCCTGAGCAGCTGGTATCTGATTTGGCAGTCCTTTCCTATGCCTTTGTCTTGGAGGGTGCTGCCTATGTTTTCTTCTAGCAGTTTCCGAGTTTCAGGTTTTATATTGAGGTCTTTGATACATTTGGAGTTTTCTTTTGTACAGGGTAAAAGATAAGGGTCATGTTTCATTCTTCTGAAGGCAGAGATCCATGTTTGACAGTGCCACATGTTGAAGATGCGATCTTTCCTCAATTGTGTGTTCTTCGCAAGTTTGTCGAATATCAGGTGGCTGAAATAATATGAACTCACGTTTGGGTCTTCTATTGTGTTCCATTGATCTACATGTGTATTTTTGTACCATGCTGCTTTTATGACTCTAGTTCTATAACATAATCCGATATTTGGTATGGTGATCCCTCCAGCATTATTCCTTTTGCCCAAGTTGTTTTGGCTATCTGGGGTCTTTTGTGATTCCATATGAATTTTAGGATGATTTTGTCAAGCTCTGTGAAGAATGTTGTGTATTTTGATTGGGATTGCATTGAATGTATAAATTGCTTTTGGTAAGATGGTTATTTTCACAGAATTGATTGTACCAATCCATGAGCATTGTAGGTCTTTCCATCTCATAAGGTCTTCCTCTATCACTTTCTTTAGAGTTTTGAAATTTTCATTCTTAGAAATCATTAATATCTTTGGTTAGGTTTATTCCTAAATGCTTTTTGAGGCAATTGAGAGTGGGAAGGTTCCCTCTAGTACTTTTTCTGATTGCTTGTTATTGGTATCTAGAAAGGCTTCTGCTTTTTGTAGGTTGATTTTGTATCCTTCCACTTTACTGAAAGTATTAATCGATTCTAACAGTTTTTAGTAGAATTTTTTGGGATCTCTGATGTATAGTGCCACATCATCTGCAAATAGGGATTTGACCTCTTCTTTTCCAGTTGGTACTCCTTTAATGTCCTTCTCTTGTCTTATTACCCTCACAAGAGTTTTAAGTACTATATTGAAAAGGAGTGGAGATAGTGGACAGTCCTGCCTGGTTCCTGATTATAATGAGATTGCTTGCAGGTTTTCTCCATTTAGGATGATGTTGGCTATAGGTTTGTTGTATATAGATTTAATTATGTTGCAGTATGTTCCTGCCACACAAATTCCTTTTAGGACTTTAGCATGAATGCATGTTGGATTTTGTCAAATTCCTTTCCTGCATCTATTGAGACAATTGTGTGGTTTTTGTCTTTAAATTCACTTATATGTTTTATTACATTTATTGACTTATGTATGTTGAACCATCCCTGCACCTCTGGAATCAAGCCAACCTGATTGTGGTGAATGATCTTCTCCATGTGTTTCTGTAAAATTTTCAAGGCAGTGGGATGGGAAACAATATAACAACTTTAAGTAACATAAAGAAGCTTTCTGGAAATGCTATTCTTTTTGAGGGGCCCAAAACGGCTCTTGGTACCTGAAGTTAGCAACATGGGAGAACAACAGATGCAGAGTTCTAAATTGAAAATATCAAGTCTAAAGCATATTTTATTTTTTATTTTTTGCAAGTTCATACATGAGTATTGTATGTGCATTATTTCATCCCTCCAAGTCTCCATATAACTCATCTTATATTTCCACCCACTCACACACCCTCCCAATTTTTGTCTGCTTCAATTATTATTGTTACATACACATATATACATTTCTAAATTTACATATATACTTGATAGAGCATATTTAGTGGAGATTTCATTGTTGTAGTTACCCTATTATGTCTAGAATATATGAAGTAGAAGGAGGTATCTTGGCAGGATGCAAATTTCCAAGGGAGAAACTCAATCAAAGATCCTATCCAGCTGTAAGGCCTAAGAACCACAACTGACAGAGTCAATTGTTACATGTGTGGAAAATTTGTCTTAGGGGTAATCAACAGCTAATTGAACTCAAGCCCTCTCAATGGAAGGGAAATCCTGTGTAGTACTGTAAACATAGTCAAGTGCACATGGCTACAAGGACATAGACCCTAGAGAAGAACCAACTTCTGTCACTTCTTTAAACCAAAGTATATTCTTACTATTTTCTAAATTTGTACCTTGCTATTTATAGAAAAGTTTACCTCTCACTACTTGTAAAAGAAGTTGCTTTTTGAAACAGATGGAAACTATTGCAAAGTTCTACAACTGGATAAATGCAGAGAATAAGTGACTCTGAGATGTGCAGCCCTAAGTGATACGTCTACAATGCATCCTCTAGACCCAATGCTCAGAGAACATCAGAAAAAATGACGTGGAAGGAACATACTTTAAATTTTTACCTTTGTTTATAGTAACACCAAAGCCGGTCATCACCTCTACCCTGAATGTTCATCCTCCACATGGCTTGTCCTCACAGTGCCTCTCTGCAGGATCCAGCTGCTCTTAGACACTGTTTGCATTTCACATACAAATGCATCGTGTGAGTAAAGGCGATGCACAGCCAAAAGAACTTGATTCCCGACTTCCCTTTCACACTCTCTTTAGTGTGTGTTTGGGTGGGCTTGTTTGCAGGTTTCTGTGGATGATCAGGTGCATATGTGTGTGGGGGTCCGTGTACACATCTGGGAATGTATACCTGAGGGATAGTGATCAACCTTGAGTCTTTTTATTCAGAAACTGCAAGCCTGTTTTAGAGGTAGGATATCTCACTGTCACCTGAGGCTATTAATTAGGCTTGTCAGGGTGTTGAGCACCTGAGATTCCTGTCTCAGCATCCAGATTCATGGAACAACCACATGATACCATTCCTGACATTTACATGGATTTGCAGATCAGATTTATGTCCTCACGATTGTGTGCAAGCCCTTATTGACTAAACAGTCCCCTGAGCACAACCTCTTTCCATATTCCATGCTTCTCATTATGTGAACCAGCATAATCTATTGGGGCCCTCTTTTCTTTCAATTCTTACATGAATTGTAAGCAAGCATACAAAGGCATACCAATCAAAAATATTTGTTATTGAATGAATGCAGAAGAAAATCACTATGAATTATTATATACTGATGATTTCTCTGTTTTTCAGTGAAGTCATACTAATAACTCAGAATCAGATATGTATTAGAGGAAGGGAGAGTAACAGTATCACAGAATAGGGATTTCCAGATGCACATGTGAGCTGACTAAAGGAACTGTGAAACAGAGGATGGATGATCCCTGTAACTTGAGAGAATGGGAAGGTGTGAGAGGGGAGGACGAGTACAGTGTCACTGATCATGAAGGAGGTGGAGGGTGACCTGGAGGGGATGGCAGAAGACAACCCTTTAGAAAGGGATGAAGCAGAGCTGGTAGGTGGGTGGCAGTGAAGCAAGCCCACTGGTTACTGGGGTTATATCGATATCCTTTGGGTCAACCAGAGGTTTCATATTAAAGTTCTGTAGAATGGTGGTCAGGAATAGAAAGAGCTCCATGCGGGCCAGGCCTTCTCCTGCACAAATCCTTTTTCCTGAAACAAAATTTCATAGAAATAAATATGACTTTTTCATAAGCATGTATGTGAAAAGCTTTGTGCTTGTAACTGGCTCACTGGAACATGAACAACTGAGGAATTATTAGATGGATGGTTAAACGAATAGATGGGTGAAAGGACAACTACTTAAGCAAACAAAGGTGGGATAAATTTATTTCCTGTCACACATATGATCTTAAAGAAATATAGCATTGAAAAAGTACTTCTGAGTTGGGTGTGTTTTCACACATCTGTTATCAGAGCAACTGGGAGGCTGAGGAAGGGGATAAATATTCATTATCACAATCACAAAACTAAGGAAGGAAGTTTCATATCCAGAGAAAACACACACTGTAGTTGTGGAGATACAACACCCATGACATAATCTGGATGGGGAAAGATCAGGGAGCCCTGTGATCATTGCAGGGTGTGCTATACGTCTACAGTAGCCATCATCCCATTGTGATCTGAAACTTTTCGATATTCTGAACTCAAGGAAAATGTGCTGTGTCAGCAGTTCATGGTTCATGGATATCATTATAATGGTCTGCTTTTTCTTATTATTCTCTGTTACTTATAAATTTTAAGGGCGCTCTAATGCTCTGAAGTATGTTGCTGCATTTAGTCCTTAATATGTGATGTATGAGAGAAAAATGTGTTGATATCTTGTGCACAATCTTCTTGGTCAGAGATGCTGGGTTCTCTCTTTGCACTAGTACAACTTCAGTGGCATCAATTGCTTGCTTATTTGTTTCCATGAATAGGTTGAGGTTCCTGTTGCCTTTCTGTCTTTGGGGCACTTGTATCTGCATAGCTGATGCTGGAGATGAGTGACACTCCAAGAAGACATGAGATCAAATTATGATAAAGTGTCCATCATCATAATGAGTGAAGAAAGGCTAAATGAAGTTCACTTTCTAGGAAGACATCATTAGCTTCTCTGTGATATATCTAAAGGAAGAACGGAAATAATCTATACTCTAGCTTTTTCAACATAAATGAAATGTGTGGAAAAACTAAAATCTCACTTTTCTAGCCTGACAGGTAAGACATCTCATTAACAAGGAAGTTGGCAATAGGTGTTTCTGATCATGAGTGAAGAGCAATTCTACGAGTACCATGGGCATCACAGTGTGAGTTTGAACTGTTCCTTAGTCTCATCTTGAGCCATGGAAATGAATCTTGTTACCTGCTGAAAAAGGCATGAAGTAGTCACTTTTCTTAAAGTTTCCTTTCTCATCTAGAAAGTGGACAGGGTCAAACTTCTCTGGGTCGGAGAACTCCTTGCTGTCCTTCAGTACAGATGACAGGGATGTTAACACAGTTGTTCCCTGGAAACAACAGAAACAGTAAAGCCAAGTTACAAAGGAAATAAGAGACCGTGGAGTGCTCTGAATTAAATGGAACACCTATCACCCTCTTCTCCAAAGGATCAGAAATCATTACAGAGGAGTGTGAGGAAAGATTGAAATAACCAGAGGTGGTGTATGGATACAAGCACACAGTGTTGTCAAGGTGCAGCAAAGCAGTTGTACATATGAATACATACTGGTTGTTACAGCATACCCACGTCCTGTGTAATACCAAGACAGACCAAAGTCCAGCATGAATTGGGGAAGGTAGGTAAGAAGCTCTACACCTAGCTGAGAAACTACTTACAATTGTTAGCTACTGGAAGATGGAGAATCAGTTTTCTTTAATGATTCGATGCCAAGTAGGTTGAGCAGGCTCAAGGAGATGGACCCATTCCCAAGGGCATTTGGACATAAAAAATTAGATTTAATATGCATTGGAATTAATAAAGGACATGAAGTTAAGGGCTGTAAAGTGGTGGGCAGGTAATCTGAGAGGAGATGGGGAGAGGGCCTGAATATGATCAAAATATATGAAATTCTCAAAGAACTAATTTTTAAAAATATTTGAAACCTTAAAAAAGAAGCCCCAACTCAGTAATAGTGGGGGACTTCAATACCCCACTGTCTCCATTAGAAAAGACAACTAGACAAAGAATAAACAGAGAGACATCTGAATTAAATAATACTACATATCAAATGTATCTAACAGACATCTTTCAATTATTCCAAAGAATAATTCCAAATAAGAATTCCAAACACCAAAGAATACACTTTCTACTCAGCACCTTATGGAACTTTTCCAAAAACTGACCACATACTAGGCCACAAAACAAACCTCAACAAACACAAAAATATTGAAATAATTCCATGCATTCTATTGGACGACAAAGCAATAAAGCTAAAAATCAACACTGGATGAAGCCCTAGTCACTTCACAAACTTGTGGTGATTGAACAACACACTCCTAAATAATGAGTGGGTCAAAGGAGAAATTAAGAAAGAAATAAAAGAATTCCTGGAATTCAACGAAAAGGACAGTACAACACAACACAACCTCTGGGACACATTAAAAGCAGTCCTAAGAGAGAAGTTTATAGCTCTAAGTGCCTACATTAAAAAATTAGAAAGAGCCCAAATAAATGAGTGAACACTGCAACCCAAGGCACCAGAAAGGCAAGAGCAAATGAAATCCAAACCCAGCAGAAGAGAAGAAATAAAAAAAAAACCAGAGCAGAAATTAATGAAATAGAAACAACAACAACAACAACAAATACAAAGAATCAATGAATCTAAGAGCTGGTTCTTTGAAAAAATAGACAAGATAGACAGACCTTAGCCCACTTAACCAAACGAAAGAAAGATTTGAAATCCAAATCAACAAAATCAGAGATGGAAGGGGAAACCTCACAACAGACACCCAAAAGATACAGACCACTATAAGGGAATATTTTAAGAAACTATACTCTACTAAATATGAAAGTCTAAAAGAAATGGATGGATATCTGAAATCACGGTAACTTCTAAAGTTAAACCAAGAAGAGATCAACAGTTTAATCAGACCCACAACATATAAGGAAATACAAAGCCTCCCAATTAAAAAAAGCCTGGGCCCAGATGGATTTACAGCAGAATTCTACCTGACACTTAAAGACCGCCAACCAATACTACTTAAATTATTCGAAACAATAGAAACAGAGGGAGAACTCCCAAATTCCTTCTATGAAGCCAGCATCACTCTAATACCCAAAGTGGATAAAGACGCAACCAAAAAGGAAACTACAGACCCATATAATTAATGAACATAGACACAAAAATTCTCAACAAAATACTTGCAAACACATACAGACACACATCAAAAGATCATTTACCATGATCAAGTAGGCTATATCCCAGAGATGCAGGGATGGTTCAATATACAGAAGTCAATAAACTTCATGAATCATGTAAATGGACTCAAAGACAAAAACTATATTGTCATCTCAAAGGATGCAGAAAAGGATTTTGACAAAATTCAGCATGCATTTATATTCAAAGTCCTAGAGAGAATTGGACTGGAGGGAACATACCTCAACATAAAAAAAACATAATTAAAGCTATATACAACAAACCCACAGCCAACATCATTCTAAATGGAGAAAAACTGGAAGCATTTCTATTAAAATTAGGAACCAGACAAGGATGTCCACTATCTCTACTTTTTTTCAACATAGTGCTTGAAACTCTTGCTAGAGCAATAAGATAGGAGAAGGAAATTAAAGGAGTGCTAATTGGAAAAGAAGGGGTCAAATTATCACTTTTTGCAGATGATATGATACTATACCTAAGAGATCCCAAATGTTCCACCAGAAAACTCCTAGAACTGATCAACACTTTCAGTATAGTGGCAGGTTTTAAAATGAATCTACAAAATTCAGTAGCCTTTCTATATACCAATAACAAGCAATTGGAGGAAGAATGCAGGGAAATGCTCCAATTCACAATTGCTGCAAAATATTACATCTTGGAGTAAATCTGATGAAAGACACCAAAGGTCTCTACAATGAAAATTTTAAATCATTAAAGAGATTGAGAAAGACACCAGGAGATGGAAGGACCTCCCATGTTCATGGATTGGAAGAATTAATATTGTTAAAATGACCATCCTACCAAAAGCAATATGTAGATTCAATACAATTCCAATCAAAATCCCCATGACATACTTCACAGAATTAGAAAAATCCATTCTTAAATTGATATGGAGTCTTCAAAGACCCCGGATAGCAAAAGCAGTCCTGAGCACAAAGAGCAATGCTGGGGGGATTACTATACCAGATCTCAAAGTATACTATAGAGCCATAATCATAAAAACAG